GGACTACGGGCTGCCAGCGGAATACAGAACAGCTATCCGAAAATTCCTCGGATACGCAAGGAGCAGGGGGTTGTATACCGCCTCTCTCAAAGAAAGCGTATGCCAGATCCCAAAGCACGACCACTACCACTTCCGCGAAGACTCTACGCATCGCGCAGCCTTGGCCTCTGTGATCGGACAGCGGATTAAAGTGTGTCAAGCTGACCACTTATTCGCAAAGATGCCCGCAGAGACGCTGGATGAGCTGGCCCGCCGTTTCCCTTTCGACCCAGAAGGAACGCGGGTATATTCCATGCAGTATGTCTTCGACAAGGCGCTGTATCGGTCCCAGCTCTCCCGCCGCCTTTTAAGGCAGGCCGAGATTCGCGAAGCTGCGAATGAATGCCCTGATCCATGGGAATCCCCTTATGTTCCTCCACCTGATCTTCCGGTCACTGGAATGCGTGAGGTACCTCAGGATGTCCTGAATTGGGAATGGGCCACAGCTCGCGAGCAGGCACAAAAGCGCGCGAAAGAGCAGGCGGAAGCACGTGCCCGTGCTGAGCGGAAGGATCCAGCCCCACTTAGTGGCGGCCCATCTGGCAGTGCATCATCTCGCGATGTACCGGAGGTGTCCTTTGACGATGTCATCGAGGCCATCCCTTATCGCACAGAGTCTCACCGCACTCTGTCAGCGGCGAAAGAGGGCATGACCAAGAAAGACCGGGACCCTTCCAGCGGCCTTTTTAGGGCTCGCCCACACGACTACATCGGGGTAAAATACCAAGATGACTTGGACCTGATGGAAATGTGTGGCTTCATCGACGAGGATGTGTGCCCAGAGGATCCGGAGGGGAGCGAGATCGTTCAGATCCTCCCCGATTCGATCCCGAAGGACCACCTCCCTGAGTTAGGCCTCAAACCCTATGTTGAGCGCTACCTCACAGGTGCTGTCCGAGGATCGAACGTGAAGCTCAGCTCACGGCGCGGGAAATGGGTACGCATCCAAGACCTCATTCAGCACATGTGGAAGAAGCACCGTGTGGATCTGGGAACACGGGGTATTTTGTCCATAGTCGCCTACGATAACAAATCGAGGTTTAACTTGGCAGGCCTCCCCACCGATCCACGTGCTGACTTCATCGAGACGGACATTTGGCCGTCGTGGATTTGTGCGTCGCATGGTCACAGCGAACGCATCAAAGATCAAGTGACTGATTCCTCGATTGCTCTGCATTGGTTCACGAACGATACGCGTGAGGAGCTTGGTCCTACAGCCGCCTATCAAGGCAGGCCATTCCTTGCTCTTGGGGAGTTTCCCCCACGCCTCTATCATCGAACCACGCATGATTCAGCTTTCAATATTCTCTCTACTGGCTTCACGCCGGGGTTCAACCGGAGCGGGAAGTTTCACAACTACTTCGCGAAGGCCACTCTGAGCGAGCTTGAGAACAAAGCTGGCAGCCGAGCAAACCTTCCTTATGAAGTTGTTCTCGACACTCAGGAGGTGAACCGCTATGCCTATCTGTTTGAGACAACTTCCGAAGGTATACTCACTCGCGACCCGGTGCCAGGGAGTTGCGTGCTCTACATCAGAGACACGATCAAAGGCATCATTTTGTGGTCTCGGCAGTCCAGCGAAGAGGAAGACACAATCCTTCCGGAGACTGCCCAGGATCCCATTGTCGATCCTGGAGCAGCTGAGCCGGAGCAGTTCCCCGATATTCCGGAGGAACCTTCAGCCCCACTTAGTGGTGGCCATGAAGAGGTCGAATCAGCAGCGTCTGCAACAGCAGACGAGCCTATGGTTGAAGTTGAGGTTGAGGTTGCGCCACCAGCATCATCACCAGAACCTCTTGCACTCAACGACGCCACAGCATCCGACTTCCTTCCGGAGGAAACCACAACATTGGACCAGGGGGGCGCTTCTCCACCGGAGGCACCGACTGAGTCCAGAAAGCGTGTTCGTTTCCTTGAGCCGGAAGATCCCGTTGAAGTCGAGATCGAGATCGAGCCAGACGAAGGCGATGTGAAAAAGGAGGAAGAAGTCAAGATCGAGCCGATGTTCGAGCAGGCACCGCATCAGCCGGAATCGACTCCTTTGGCTCTCCCTCCAGCCCCCGTTACGGGTGGCCGTCACAGGGCATGTCCCCACTGCGGTACTCAACACCTTGTGGGACAGATGATATGCTTGAGCTGTGGCGTGCACATCGTGAAGCCTTCCCAACAGAACGCACGCAAGAAAGCGCGTTCAGCTCGTTGGTTCGCTGAAGAGGCCGCCGCTGCCGCTGCGGGCAAGCCACGTTCCCAGCTGACGCCGGAGGAGGTCATTCATGAAATGACCAGAGACTCCTCAACCCAGCGGGGAACTACGTCGCTTGACGCAGAGGCGTTGGACAAAGCCCGGCAGCAGCTCAAGATGGCTACGAAAGGAGGCTACACAAGCATCGTACACCGCTTCGATAACGATGTGGACTACACTATGAGTTCCATCGGCAATGGGTACGATCGAGAGTTTCTGGCCATCGAAGACGTGCTTACGCATGCTGCCCTGCCGAACCATGGCCGTTCAAAGGAGCAACGACAGTTGGCTGTCGGCACCTATGGTGGAAGCTCCGAAGGGCCAAGGAACCAGGAGATTGCCCGGTTGCTCTACTTGCACGAGTGCAATCCAGCCGCCCTTAGGGCAGGCCTGATCTCCGCAGTGAGTGACGATCCGTTTTGCATCATGTGGCTGGGAGGGGCATACAGTTTGCGTAAATTCGTAGATGTTTTCCTCCAGCACAAAATCGTGAAGATGATTGTTACTTTCTCAGAAGAGGCACTCTACGTCGATCCACGACTCGGCTATTCTGCCGAGGACTGGACTGAGTGGCTCCGTGGGAAATTCGCGGAACAGGTCGGAATTGCACGCCGTGCATACGAAGAGCGACAGCGCAACGCTGAACGCTCTCGCATCGCACAAGCCAAAGCTGATGCACGCAGAGCAGAGCAACAGCGCTACCAGGAGCAGGGATGGGATCGCGGCTACCAGCGAGGATCCCACCCCTACGGCCGCTCCTCCGGTTCCCGAGGATGGTACTAAGTACCTGATCAACATTTCGTGGTTCCGTCACGTTAACCGGTACTCCGAAATACAGCCCCTCTTAGAGGTGGCCGAATTTCCTTAAGACCAGAAAAATTTCATCTTGCATCCTCTGGCAGTCACTTTGTGACAAATCCGACATCAGGTCTTTGGACCTCGAGGGGAGTCGTCAGCAGCTCCAGTGGATGATGTATTCGTCCCATGCTGCACATGTTCTTGCGACTTGTATCCACGCCATCATTCAAGGCTTGCTGGATCGTCGCCATTTTATAATGCATGTCGCGACTTTAAACTGCGCGCTAAAAGAATTAACCTGCTTCCGTATCTTCCGCTTTACGGTAGTAGAAAGCCTATGAGCCCCGAGCCACAATCCAGCCGCCTTTACGGCAGGCCACACAGCACCAAGCTTCCGTGCATGTTTGCGCCTCAGACTGACGCTTCGGCGAGGGGGGGGTGTAATTTGTGCACGTGTGAAGTATCATGTTGTGTGTACGGCATTGTGGCACAAGTGCTCTAACAGGAAAAAGGTAGTGACCGAATGGTACAAGCCGTGCTGTTATCACTTGGACGGGTATATACAACAGTGCGTGTGTGCAGTGGTTTACAACAACTATAGTCCGAGCCTTAAAATCATAGCCTAAAATCACAGTCCGAACACTAACACCATAGCACGAACCGTCAAATCGTAGTGCGAACCCGTCCGAACCCCAAAATGATAGTCCGAACCTTCAAAATCATAGCCCGAACCCTAAAATCATAGGCCCAATCCTAAAGCCATAATTAGTCCGAACGTGTTTTTTTGGTGCATGTTTGGATCAACCGCTGTTCTAGGATTTTAAGACGTTTCAGATTCCTAATGACATGGGATTCTTTGGGCAGGTGGGTTTCTACCTAGGTTGTAAACTACACTGCTGGCCTAGTTTCCGTAGCGGCGCGAAACGCAAGTCCGTAAACCCTAAACCTTGCATCAACCTTCAACCAAAAAGCCTAGGCCCTATCCCCTTAAACCCTCGTCTATAACCCTAAATCGCAAACCCTCGACTGTAACCCTAAAAACCCTAAACCCTCGTCCAAACCCAAAACTTCGATCATCGGCCCAGGTCGTCGGCTTCACTGCAGCGGAGCTCCGCCTCGCGGGCTTCACGGCGCCCGAGCTCCAACGATCCGGCTTTCAGGCCTCCAAGTTGACGCCGGGCCAGAGTTCTTTGGGGTCTGGGGTCTTGATAGGGTTTAGGGTTTAGGGGTTTAGCAGGATCTAGGGTCTTTAGGGTTTAGGCTTAGGGTTTAGTAGGCTTTAGGGTCTTCGGGGTGAAGGGCGTTTATGATGGTAGCCTTCCTTGGGTCCCCGATGTAGCTGTGCACCACATACAAGCCCACACAAGTCCCAAACACAGAAGACACGCCCTGCTGTTCTGTAGTGTAACTACAATACTATCATGCAAAGGCCTGCGTTCAGTTTTAAAGGCTTTGCATACTCCCAGGGCCCTAGTCGGGGACTACTATGCCGATACACCGTTGTTTAGTGGCTGGCTAAGGCTCCCAAATTAGCTGCTGCATGAGGCTTGATAGGGTTTGTTGAGGTTTCAGAGGTGTTTTGCAAGGTTTCCAGGGTTCGTCGTTGTGTGCGATACGCCGCCCGAACCATAGCTTAGACTCAGTTTTCTTCGTCGCTTGCTTCTGGGTTCAGGGCTCAGGGTTGAGAGTTCAACCGCTCAAGATTCTGCTCTCGGGAGTTTGCACTAGGGCCCCTTATTATTTTCTTCTGATGCTCCCCTATGTGGTCTCCTACGAATTTGGTTCCCTCTACACAAGGTCAATGTATACTTATACGGTAGCAACTTGGGTGTCCTGACAGAGGTCTAGCATTGAGGCGCCGGAAAAACCGCGAGCATGTTGGCTCAAGGTAACGACACCAATTGGTTGAGCCTCGCAGGTGATGCTGCAGATCCTCCTTGCTTCATGGTCTGTTCTGCCCTCTGGCGGTGATGGCCCGCTAGTGTGCAACCCTGCATTAGGATATCGCTACCTCTCCATAGGGGCTGCTGGAGGAATCTCTGCTTCTGGCTGTTCTGCCAGCTGGGACTTGCATGAGGTCGAATCCTTCACAAGCAGCGGGCAGCTGACGCTGATGGCATCCTCATCTTCGGGCTCTGACAGTAGCCACTTGCCCGGCCTGGCTGTGGATGGTGATACGAGTACGTTCTGGGCAGGCGATCACGACGTCGGAATGAGTTGCAGCTGCTGGGAAAGCTCGAAGAAAGACGGCCAGATACTGACGATCGACCTGGGCAGCACTCAGCAGGTGACACGGCTGAAGCTGTACCAGGGAGGCAGTGGCAACTTCTATGCGGTGAAGCGGGTGAGGTTGCACTGCCATGAATCCAAGGCCTTCTCATCAGCCTTGGTCAAACCTCTTGAGATAGAGGTGTCGACAGGCGTGACAACCATCGAGTGCAGCGACCGAGGCTGTACGACCGACCTCCAGCCTGCGTACTACGACACTTGTGCACCGCTTCCCGGCGACACCAGCAACACCCAGCTGGCCGTTGGCCTTGCAGCAGCCTTTGTTGGAATTCTGCTGCTCTGATTTCAGGATCTTTGGGTGTTGACTTCTGTGCTCAGGACCTTTGTGGAAGTGTTCCGGTCGATGCTCTTGGGTTTCACTCGGTAGCCTGGTGCGGCCGCGTCTGTGGCTCCACAGCCGTCCTTCATCCCGAAGGGGGCTCGGAGGGAGAGGTGGAGGTTTCCGAGAAAGGCGAGGATGCCTTGACGAGCCTCTTCAAGGTTGTCTTTCCTTTGCCTGTGGTGCTTCTGCAAAGTCTGACCCACCACTGCACCTTCCCGCATGAGGCGGCCACATCGGTCCCGCTCGTCCAGAATTTTAGATAGGGCCAGTTCTCGGGAAGTCTGGCTTGCCACGTGGACGACCTTGGTTGGACAACAGATTCCTAAACCTCAGCCGTAGAGCCCTATATAACAAGCAGCCCGCATGGGGGCCGTACTCAGAGATCGCACCGCCGTTTAACCACGGAACGTTCCAAAATATTCTATTGAACTGGGGATCCACAACATGGTTTTTAAAAGTGCTTCGTGGGGATGGTACCGTTCTTTTCTCTGTAACGTCTAGACCCTTACAAAACCTCATAAAGCCTCAAAGCCCTAGGCCCTGGGCTCTGAAGAGAGGCCGGCAGGTCTTGGATGCCTGAGCCCCTCAGGTTCCCCAAAAGCAACCTCCTGCAGCAGCCCCTGGGGAATTTGGCAAGGGCCACCCCAGTCAAACGAACCTTCCACAGCCCTCTCAGCATTTCTTCGAAAACCGCCCCTCGCAGCACTCCCAGGAAAGTTGCTGGCTTTTCGACCGAAGAAGTTCATCCCATAGGCATCTCCGCGAAGCAGCTCCTGGCAGAAGGCCGGAGAGCATCCCGAGATGTCTATAGGCTATAGGTTTCGGGAGATTCAGAGTCTGAGGATGCTGGGGTTCGGGGCCGGGGGCACTTGAAGTTAGAATCCTACATGTGTTATGTTGTGGTTGGCGTTTTATGTTCAGGGCTGAAGCATGTCTGGGGTCAGGGCTCTGAGAAAGCGCACTGCCTTGCATTGGCTTTCCTTAAACATAAACTAGATGCTAATCCCGGACTTCAGCTCCAAGAGTTGTATTCCTGAAAGGGTTCCTTTGATATACTGAAAGTGTGCTATGCGCCAAAACCCGATTCTACCCTAGACCACACATCTCCTGGACCGCTCTCCTTCCACTGAAAACTCAACATGTTTTCTTTGGGGAGTAGTCGCAGGCCAGGACGCCTTGCATTGCGAAGGATTCTTCTTTTCTGAGAACTACCTATAACCATTGGATGTCATGTATGTAATGTGTTGAGGGCAGTAGGAACGATATACCGCCTTAATTAGTCACAGCCCCTAGCTAACATTACGGTAAGATATCCAACACCACGTTCAAGTTTTCTTGAGGACCCTACGAGGAGTCCCCATGAAGCGTCGTTAAATGTTCATACAACCCAACAAATAAGACTCTAAACAAAGCCTGGAAAAAGGGCACATAACGAGAATGTATGGGGCAGTTCTACGAGGCCGCTACAGGCTTTGATTCAGGTCAACCTGCAGCCCAGACCCCCTTAAGAAACCTGAGATACGGTGTTTGTGGAATCTGTATTAGTAAGTAAGGTCAGCAATCAGCAAGAGCGGCTTGGGGTTTGGGATTTAGGATTAGGATTACCCTGAACCCTGAAAGAGGTCATAGGGGATACCGTATACCTAGCGGACGAAAAGGTAGAACTTGCTTCAGACGACTATGGGAGTCTGTAGGCAAAGCTAAATCCTGACCTCAAGTTCTCTAGAAACTGCGCCAAATCCCACCCTCGAACCCAAAACACTATAGATGTGTGAAGACTGTAGAGGCCCGCCCGCCGCCAATTGGCTGTCTTATGGTTCCTGTGCAAGTGTGTGGGCAACCCTAGACCTTCTAACTCCAAAGCCATAGTACCAAAAGCACCCGATTTGGGGGGGGGGGTTCTTATAATCAGGATCCTACTATTTAGGGTACCATATGAGGGTCCCCTATTTTCAAGTAGAGTCGACGTCCTTTTGGCATGAAGGCCGCAGCGGCAAAGACCTCCGCGATGCGGGCTTCAGTGCTTTGGAGCTGAAGGCTCGGACGTGTGTGAGTTCAAGTCTCAGGGACGAGTGTGTAGGGGTTGGGTTATTGGTGAACGTGTGTTGTTCTCGGATCTTGCATGAACACCCTGCTGCACGTGGACAAGAGGACCACATGAACACAAATAGAGGTGCGCAGAGGCCATTGCAGGTTAAGGTATGAACGCGCGCTCTCTACGAGGAGGCCAATGTGCAGTTTACAGATGCTTCGACGCTGAAACTCGGGCTCTTCATGTTTGCAACAAGTTTTCATTTCAGGTTAGTCTTACGCTACGGCTGGACCCCAAAAACCCTCAAAGACTTCAGAGCCACCAAGCCTTCCCTTAAGAACGACTAAAAGGACGCTTCACAGCCGCAAACTCGCTAAACCGTACCCAATTAACCCTAAATCCCCCCAGCGCTAAACGGTCCGATACTTCCTGCAACATAGACGAGCCCAGGAAAGCCCTGGGCTATTCGGCCGCGGAGGTCGGCGCGGCCGGCTTCAACGCTTTGGCGCTGCTGAAGGCTCGGTACACGTATCCCGAGCGCCTTGGCTGGCCATTTAAAGTGGGAGGTATGTATGCTTGTATGTATGTATTGTATGTATATGTATGTAAGTATTATATGTACTGGTACGTGTATATGTAAGTGAGTGTATGTAAAACGGCACACATACATACTTATGTGTACACATGTATATATATATATATGTATGTATATACACACAAGCCTATCCACATTTTTTGTGTGGTCCATATACGTATATACACATATGTAGAGCGGCAGGGAGAGGGGGAGAGAGAGAGGCAGACAGAGAAATGCCCATCGTGTAGGTATATAATGGGCATAGCATTGTATGTATGTATATATATATATACATACATACACTGATATTAACATACCAAGCAAGTTCACCAAGACAACCCCACATAACCCTTATACACTCCAAGCAATTGTGTCACATTTTGTTTGATTCGAGCCCAGCCGTTTTGAAGGTTCGATGATGCATGGTTTGAAATTTTCGGTGTGTAAGAATCTCGTCGGTGGCGGTTTTTGTAATGGCCCGTCTGCTCTCTTCTAGGGCTAGTTGGAGCGCCCACATATTTCGCTAATTTGCCAACCCGTATCAGCCCGCGTCGAAACTTTGGTCTAGGTGGTTCGCAGCGGCTCGTCTTGTGAACTAGTTATGGGTGGTCCTGCGACTGCAACTCAGGCTGGCTTTAGCGGGCATCACTGGCAAGCAGCTGAAAGAGGAGGGATGCCAACTCCGGGATTTGAAACTCAACCAGTCGTGAGCATAGTTTTGATTGAGTTCAGGTTAGAGAAGGAAAAAGTATTTATGCTGTTTCTACACCGCTTAGCCCTAAATCCTCCATGAACCATGAGCGTAAATGAAGACAAATCCCGAACTCAGTGAATCCCGATTTCGAAATGCAGCCTAAGCCCAAAATTGGCAAGCCTTCGTCCTCAAACCTTGAACACCCCCTGCCAAGACTAATACAAGCGAGCATATCATATAACAATATGCGAATGTATCGGATTTTTTATAGGTACAATCTTATAGTGTAAACCCTACACCCTAAACCCTAAGCCCTTCAAAAACAAAGAAAGCGAAAGCCAAGGAAGGCTGTGGGCTTCAATGCCAAGCAACTGAGAGAAGCCGGCTACACGGCACAGGAAACCGGATCGCAAGTAGTACATGGTTTCCTCTTTTTTGTGCTGTGTTTAGGGCTTGGGATTTTCGGGTCTAGGGGTTTGGGTCTTGGGATATTCTGGGTTTTGGGTTTGGGGTTTCAGAGTTTGTGGCTATAGGCTTTTGGGGTTTGCGGTTTTGGGGAAGGTTTCACGGCTTACCTTTATGTTTTTCTGCATTGTTTCGGGCTTGTGGGTTCCTTATTAATTGTTAGACGTGCAGAGGAGGAAGGAGGGTACTGCAGCGATACCCTTACTTTCGTGAGGCGGGATAGCGAGTTCGGGTGTTTTAGGGAAAGGGTGGTGCCCTTTGACCTTTGATTGATAACTGAAAGGAGATGCTCTTTTTGGTGTTTTGGGGATTGCGAATACTGGGAGAAGAGTACCCCCCTTTGGTTTTGGCAATTTTGATCTTTGGCTTTTGGCTTCATTGATTAGACATGGTATTCCTGAGGGCTCCATAATGCAGTATAGCATAAGATACCCGTAAAGGCCTTTTTCCTCATTCGACAAATTCCCTATTATACTGGTACCTTAATTGGGGAGCCAAGGAGATCTATGCCGTGGGCTTTGGGAGTATCGACCTCTCCATGGCAGGACTCCTTCTTTCACAGTTGGGGTGAGGGCTTAAGGATTTGCTGCAGGATTTTAAGGGTTTTTGTTTGAGGGCGCCTTTTAAGGGGGGGGGCAGTACCGATTCTTAGGGATTTAGGGTTCAGGGCGTCTAGGGAGTCAGCCCGAAGGTGGATTGTAAGAAGTAGCTTGTTCGTGAGACAAGATTCAGTTTTAAGGTTGCCGGTGTCTCATGACCACGAAGACCTCGTGAGTCCAGCTTACCGACGGGCGTTTCCGGATTTCGTTCCGAGCTTAGTTGCGGCTCAGTGTTCGTGGTTTACGGCACTTGTGTGTCGGGTTTGGGGCAAAGGTAAAAAGTATTCGGTGCTTTTGCAAGTCAGCGCCCTGGCGAGAGACGGGGGGAAGCAAAGCAGTGCATCGGTAATACCACCCCCACGCCCCCTCAGGCCCCCAAGCACCCAAATTAGCAAACGCCCTAAACCCTATAGAATCAACCGAAAAAGATCCGAATGCCTTACCCCACCCCGCAACTCTAAGCACCCGAACTTAAGCCGACTCCGAGGAATCGAAGGGCCACAGTTCCGCTAGGCGGCTGGCGACCTGATGGTAGCTCCTCCAGTTTTGCCCTTCGACTCTTTGAACTTCCGGATCTCCTGAACAGCGGAAACGCGGAGATTTCAAAAGGGCTTACTGGGGAACCTACCAGATTTTAAGGGCTGAAAATACTTCGGTCCAGGGCCTAAGACGGGTCCCGACTCGCAAATGGCATGTATCCAGCAACGTGTTGCGGTTTACAAGTGTCTTTCGCCCATGCGTGCGTTGCACGTTTTTGTTGGGCCACCCTGCGAAGAAATGCACGGCGTCCTATGCTCCAGTGTTCGGTGCAGCTTCGACATGCTACCGACTCCTCCAACGCTTGATGCAGTGGGAACTGTTTCCGCACAAAGCCAGCACAGCCGCCGAGGAGATCTTACTGTAAAAGGTGGCATGATTGATCCGGTCGTCACAGTCACCGCCGCAGACCCATCACACACAGCTGGCAGCATCGCATCCACAGCATCCACCGCCAGCAAGAACACGACCATCACGCGGCAGCAGCAGCAGCAGCTGTGGCAAGGCTCGATAATTGCGATAAAATGAATGTGACAATGATGCGAATTCACGACAAAAGCGACTGGCAACAATAACATCAGGGTATAAGATATAAATTCATCAGGATAAGTTCGGTGGGAACCATGTAATGAGTAACAGTGCCTATGGCAAGACGAACAGGAGTGGCAGACACTACAACCACATATAGTGCAGAAAAGACTAACATCGTTGCAATGATGGCGATATCATTGGCGAAGGTGATTCTACATTATCATGGCAAATAGTTGTTTCTGAGCTACTGAGTGTGTGTTTGATGTGATGGCTTATGACCTTTTGGCTTCAGGGTACATGCAATGGCCTGTTACGATTTTGCCATGCGCGTACCGTGTTTGCACAGCAAAGCAATCAGCCCCATCCCCAGTCCCTTGTCCAGGTGGAAAAGCCGACTCAACAAACAGGTCTAGATGATTGTCCTTATACATTTGTTGATTATGCAAAGATAAACACAATTAAGCCCTCTTTTTGGTTCATTAAGGCCCCTATACCAGAGAATTCCCTATGAAATTATCCAAAGATACTCACTTAAGCCCTCTATTCCATTCAGTACCGGCCCCTGAAGAAGAGATTTGACCCCCCCCCTAAACTAGTAGAGTATCCCTTATAGCGCAGTTTAAAGGAACCCTAAACTTGTCAAAGAGATTTGAGGGTCCCCTATATTAGTACAGTGTCCCTTATAAAAGGAACCCCTAAAAAGGACCCTCCTAAGACACGAGTCGAAGCTGCCTGTGAGTAGTCGCCCGGCTTCGACTCCCTGCAAGGGGAAAGCAATGTTGGGAGTTTCCGAAAATTAGGGGTACCTTTAAAGGGATCCTTTAAGGGTTCCTTAAAGGGATCTATAAGGGTTCCATAAAGGGTTTACGGTTTAGAGTTTCCGAAACTTTGGGGTACCTTATTTTAGGGTCCTTATAATAAAGATTCTTAGGGTATTGTATTAGGGTTCCCCATGTTCGGAAACTCCCATGTTGGGCCGTGTTTTGGAGCCTTTGGACATACTCATGGGGAGAAAGCCTGTTTTTGGAAATCCCATGTGGAGGTTTTGGAACCGTAAACCTTGATCCACAATTGAGGAACCTTCAAATCCCTATATCCCTATCCATACCTGGCCTAGGACGAGCCAGCTGTGCGGTGTTAAAATGTTTTAATGTTGGTTCACATGTGCGGCTGTTTGGCTGCTTGTAATGGCACGATGCCGTATATTGATAATCTTGTCATAGGGGCCTTCATCAGACTTGTTGGAAAGATTTGTTCAAATCTCGAGGCGTTCCCAGAGAAGGCCTTTTATGAGGGTTGCAGCGTGCAGGGCTACTCCTAAGTGGCAGTGTTAACCCGGCCGACCCGCGTCTTCACAAGCCTCCCTCGCAGTCTATGGATCTGCGCGTGCTGCCGATTTCGACTGCCTGCGTGGCAGAGTGCCTAGGTTGTTTTAGGCTAAGGGGGAAAACACGGCGGTTTCCAGGAAGCAGATCTCCCCAAGAGTCGGCCAAGTCACTTCGAGCCCTGGCGCGGACGAAAAGATCTGGAGCATGCCTTTAGGTTTCGGAATTTGGGGTTTATTTAGGCTTTAGCGTTTTGGGGTCTTTTTAGAAGGTCCTAAGCTTCAAACCCTGCCCTTCCCCCTCCAGACAGGAGGCCCGGAAGCCCGGAAGTCTTACCCATAGGCTCCATAGTAGTTCCTTTTTGGGGTTCATATTTAGAATCCTATAAGGTGGCCCCAAAAAGGAACTACTTTGGAGCCTCTGGGTATAAGTTGTAATTTGATGGTTTGAGATTTCGTTTTTGGAGGTGGGGTCGAGCGTCGCAATTAACAATTAGTAAAGTTCCTTTCTGGTCCCTACCTACCTGCTCCAGAAAGGTAGCCCAAAGCCCCATTCTAAAAAGTAAGGCTCCACTGTAGAACTTAACGACGTCATCATGGAACTCTTAAAGGAGCCCCTTAAAGCAACCTTGTGCCTACATTAAGACAGCCCCGATGCCCGATACTGCCTGGAGGGCTTGTGGTCGGTTGATGCTTCTGGAGTCTTTTCAAGGATTCGTGGCTTGTGCCTTTAGGGTGTATGGTTTTGATGTGTTTGATGTGTTTTGGGCTCGAGTTTGAGGAGTTACCTTTGTCCTTTGTGGCCTGAACATTGAGGAGCAGTATACCAAAAACACCGAAATCTGTTCGGCATCAAGACCTCTAATGAGTTTCAGCGAATGACGGAGGTTCAGCGTTCGTGCCGTTGCATTGCGAGACTCGTGATGATGCCACGGCAGAGAGAGAGAGAGAGAGACAGAGAGAGAGAGAGAGAGAAATGGGTTTCGCCTCTGGACAGGTTTGAGGCTGTTAATCTTCAGGGTTGAGGCGGGTCTTGGGATTGTCGGTTTGAACCGAGTAATCGTCAGCCTGTCTTTACGTCAAAGGGTTTGGTTTCTTCGGCACAGGTGTGCTGCCGAGGGTTCCAGGTCAGAGTGTGATTTTGTTTTGTTTTTTGTGTTTTTTTTGGGGGTGTCTTGTTGCATGCATGAATCTGCATGAATGTCCGACTAAGCGGCTTTGGGTTCGTCTCAAGCCGAACACTATGACATCAAGCCGAAGTCAAGGCAGCCCAACCCTAAACTCTAGCTCAACTTGGAGTCGAAGCCCTGAACCATCAGCGGCCCCCCAACCCCAGCATGTGCAGCGAGTTCTAGTGCCCAAAATGATTTTGGTCGCATTGCCCGACTGCTTGCAATTCTGGACTAGATGTGAGCTTCAAGCAACACATAGGGTCCCCCCTGCCAACAAGAAAAGCACACCCGCCCTACAAAGAGCCACCGAAGATTTCAGAAGACGCTCCATCGGAAGCAGATGCCATTGCTTTCCGAGTGTGTCGTCTCATGGGAAAGACGCCATACCCCTGGCAGCAGATTGCAGCTGCACGTGCTGCACATGAGAACATCATCGTCAGTGCCGAGACAGGCGAGGCCCAATCGACGTACAATCTCTGTTCAGCAAACAGCATGACGTGAGTTCCGGGAGAGAGGCTTTCTGAATCTCTGAACTCAAAGCTGCAAGCCTCGGTACGCGAGCTTCTAAGATGTTAACTTAAGTCAACGAGCATCCTCTGGATCCTTCACCAGTATCTAAAGACCATGCGTAAGGAAAGGTATGTATATATGTATATATATATATATATATATTTATACCTCAACGGGGTTGAGTTCCAATCATGACAAAGAAACTTCAACAAGCATGCATTGATGAAGGCGTATCGAGCGAGGACTCAGGGGAGACTGTGCTCTAGCCATGCATGGGCTGCACAGGAATAGTGATTTGTAGTAAGAATCCGAGTAGGGCTCCTTGTGTCGGAGCGGTTACCCCGAGAGTCCCCGAAAGGCTCCGGCAAGACCCTGGTGGCCGAGCTGGCAATCCTCGAAGCACTCAGGCGGACGACATGCACTATTGACATAGGGACATAAGGGGGCCCAAGGGCCTAAATGCTCAGAACAGGGCTTTGGTGTTTATTATGGTTTTTTAGTTAAGAAGGGACCTTCGGGATAATCTTAGCAGCACTCGACATTAAGGTTGAAAGTGCAGGGTTTGGAGTTTGTTTTTGCCGAGTTCCTTCATGGGCTGCTTCAGGGGTTCTTTCTATAAGCGTGCTAGAAGGGCTTGACAAGGGTTTCTGGATTTGGTGTTTTCGGGTTGTGGGTGTTCGGATGACAGAACGTTCCACCGTGTTTCTGTCTGAAGTACCCCGTAGAGTAAACAGCAAGGAGGTGATCACGACTGCTGGAGATATACATCAGAATCACTGGTATGAAGATCAACGCATGTAGCAATGGGAAGGGCGCTAACACGACCTACAGAAGCCCTCTACTATACCTAAAGTTTACGGTGCTTTACGACTCAAGATGCCACTCCGGCTCCCGAGATCACCGAACAGCAGGAAGCACTTTTGGATGTCTGGACTGACAAGAAACATGGGAGAACAGATGTAATGACAAATTCTGGCTTCGGCCGGCTCGCAGAGCTTGCGCTAACCCTGAATAGGCTAGTATTTGGGGTCCTTATTATGATTTCTTGATATAAGTCCTTATTAAGGTAGGTTACTCGGTTAAGGTAAGCCCTCAGCCCCAAGAGTAGCAATCCAGGAGGCAATCTGAATCCGCGCCTGCTCTCACGTGCGCGAGTCGAGTTCCTAAGCACACCAGGGTCGGGGTTAAAAAAGAAGGCGCCTGAATAACTGGCTATGCTACGGTGCTGCCAGAGGTGATGTTTGGAGATGAGAGTTCAAGCTCGTGCTTGGCAATTGGGGCTTAGGGTTTAGATTTCCGGTCCAGTTTTTTTGAGATGTCGGACGATTGCAAGAGCGATGAGAAACCCGAAGCCTTGAACTTGAAATTCCGAGACTCGAAGCACCTGCCGGGAGGTTTCTTCGTCCTTTCTTATGCTGATGTCGTGCCTTGATTTTTGTCATGGCCTAGCAGACGTAAACGAGAAGTAAGCAGGATTCTGTGTCGAAACGGGAGCATTAGGATGCAGGGCGCCCGGGTAATGATTATGACTGTTTGCGAGGTGGTTGTTTTTTATGTGGCTGGGGCTGCCCTATGTCGCACGTGCTTCCGTGTGCGAAGAGGCTTCACCCCGGCAAGCACGTCGCCTTCATGGTGTGAACGCCTCGGCGATCGTACATTGGGATTTCGATGGCTGCAGGATCTAGTAAGTTACAAGACTGTGGCAACATGCATGGCCCTACTGTGGAAGCTACCGGCCGGCCTCTCTTGGCTAATGTCTAAATCTAAGGACCGCTTCACGGCTGCTGGCTCACCAGCAGTGGACCTGTCCTCAGTGGGTGGACTAGCACTGCAGCCGTGTCGTCATCCACGGCTGGCCGTCAGAAGTGGATAGATTCGGTGATGTCTACTTTGAAGCCCTGAACTGAGCAGCTGACAGATGACGCACGTCGGCCGTAAACGACCCGACACCCTGAAAAGAGCGGAGGATGCGGGTGAAGGCGACGTTGCACGAAGCCGATCCTGCTGCAGCGGCTCGCTTAGATGCTGCCTGCTTGGGGTCCGAGATTGAGGGCTTACCTGTACCCTCCCATGTAGTTATTTCTTTGATAGGCTCTCTGCATACGCATTACCAAGACCAAGTAACAAAGCGTAGCAGAAACTGTCATTGCAGATTTTTGGTATGGTTTGGTTATGTTTAGTTTTCCAGGATCTAGAAGTTCGATGGTTGTCAAAGTACTTACTTGTTTAGCCATCTAGCAAGACATGCCTCACGTAATCCGATGGGTGGTTCATGCTGCAAGCCTCTGCTTTGCGGGATTGCATTTTTGTGGATGCTCTCTGCACGTTGCCATCCAATTTGTATATTTAAAGAATACAGTACTATGCCCGGTGTTTCCTATCAAACTCAGTTTTTTTTAAAGGCTCCCGCCTTCCAGAAATCCTGGGGCAAGCGCTGGGTGGCTGATCTGGGCTTGTCCTCCTTTCAGCCTTGCAGGGTTTGGAATTTAGGGTTAGGGGTTTTAGGGTTTAGGAGAATAGGCCTGGATGCCGAAGGGTTTAGGAGAAGTGTACCATGGATGCACAAGGGTTTAGGAGACGTGTACCATGGATGCAAAAGGGTTTAGGGTTTATGGGCTTGTATTGATAGTTGAAGGCTATATAAGGGTTACTGCCCGGGGCTGCGCTGGGACCTGCGAGGGTCTTTGAGGGGGTTACAGGTTTTATGCAAGGGTGTACAAAGATTTGGTGAGGGTGTACAGCGCTTCTGCAAGATATAAGGGTGCACTAGGGTTTCGTTGAAGTTTGTGAGGGGTGAAGAACATCAAAGTACGGGCCCTTACAAAAAGGATCCGATTATTTACTAGTAGGATTCTACACTCGGGTCCCCTATTTGCTGAAACCAACATCAAAAGAACATCCCCTATAGTTCCTTAATGTCATAGCCGAGTACATCCTCAACCCGACTTCTACTTCCAAAAACCATAGTTATGACTTGCAGATCACCTGCAACAGCCTGCAACTCAAGGAAGTGGCAGAACTCACGGGCTTCACAGCGAGTGGCTGGGGTCCGAAGGAGTATGCCAGCGTCCTGCGCGCAAAGGCGGGTACCAGTTTGAGCTGACACGCAGCCTTGCAGTTCTTCTGTTCCATTCCCTGACAAATTTACGAATCCGCTTGGACAAATGGTGCATGTAAATGGCGGAGATCTCTGGTAGGTTCCAGACAGAACAAGCGAGCACGTCCCTCCGCTCTCCTTTCACAGGTGTTGGTTGGGACTGTCGAGACCTTTACCAGAGCTTTCATAGACCACGGCCGCTGTCTTAGCACAGACGTGCCATCTTCAAACAGCCCATGTGTTTAGCTCTGCTAGAGTGCTAGAGAGCCGGTAAAACTGTACTGACAAGATGTCTCTTGCGGGCGAAGCTGCTTTTCAACCTTCCCTGTTCTGTTGTTCCCCTTGGATCCCCAACATCCCGAAACCCGAAGCATTCCCGTTGTTTAGGCTTCTTCCGCTTCGAAGACTTCTCCCTCTTCGTGCTGGACGAGTGTCACGAGGCCGTGGAACATGCGTTGACTTGTCGGGCCTTACTGTTGTCCTTGTCTTGAAACATCACAAAGCCAAGCCTGGAATGCCCAAGATGCTTCGCAAGTTTGCCCTGTAAAAGACGATTTGTTGAATAGCCTTGATAGCTCGACTACCACTACGCCGACGACTACTGCTGCTGCTACACTCCCATCTACCCACGAGCTGCTTCCATAATCAGTTATTGAGCCAGGCGGGAGGCAATGAGATCTGTTATTGAGGCTTCGACTTCGTCGTGCTTGCGACTTTTCGACATGTTCGCGGTCCTGGCGCGCAGCCAATCAATCTGACCCTCTTTTCAAGGGTACTGAAGGTCGGCACCAGGTCTCCTATTTAGGAATGCCAGAATCCGTATAGTTGATCCTCATCTACTGCAAGCCCAGATAGAAGGGCCGTAGCGAATCCTTAAACCTTAATCTCAAGTGTGTGAGTCGAAACTCAACGGAGGCCAAGGGGGAATCTCCGGCAGCCGAACTCCTCTGGCGGCTTCACTGTCAGGAGATGCTTTGCGTTTGGGGCTTCGGGTGCGGGCTTCAGGGTTTTAAGTTCACGATTCAGTGCTGAAGGTTCAGGGCCCAGGGCTGCTTAGGGTTTAGCATGCGTTGTCGATGCAGCTTCCTATAGGCTGTGGTAGGTCGTACGGAACCATACCAACATGGATCTTGGAGCATACCCGTACCCACAGATGCGCACTGGTGACAATGAGTGTGTACATATTTAGACAAACGCATACATCTATACGTGCCCGCATTTGTCACATGTGCAAATACACGGGTGAATTCATGCACAGGTGTGTGTAAACATAGAGGGGTCCGAATAGCACTTCGACATGGATGTACACATACACAAACGAATGCTTCTGCTAGCCACAGTTCTCTGCGCACGTGTTCAACAATGTTTGTGCCATTTGTCTAAGCGTGCAAATATTCATCCACACACACGAAGAGGGTCTCAAAAACCCTCCGTGCTACAGGACTACAGGGTGTTCTGCACCCTAGCGAGCGAACCACTCTAAGCCGTCAAGCCTAAACTAAACCCTGGATTGTCCGAGTTTGAGCGCCGAAACTAAACCCGAAGCCTTTGACTTTGACCAGGACGGAGGCAACAGCTTGGCCCCCGATCCAAATCTCCGGGCCGATGGGCTTGAAGATGGGTGTTTGCTCTTGGCTCTTATATATATATATATATGTATGTATATATATATATATATATAGAGGGCAGTGTTTTTGGCAGGGATTTGTTCAGGAAGCTAAACAATTGGACCAGCGCTTCGGGGATGTTCAATCGCGACTTAGTATGAAGGCACACTTAGACTAATTATTCCGACCCCCCCGCCGCAGCCGTGGCTGACCAGGCTTTGGCATCAACACAAACCGTACCGCATGGACAGATGCACTATGCATGGATCGGAGGAGAGTGAGTATATGCATGTATATGCAGACTTTGAACCCACGTAGTTCGCATCCATCAAGCAGGCTTTTGCACCTTTGGCACACGCACAATCACCCTCACCATCCCCATCATTCTGCCGTCACTATGTCAACCGTCGTCGTCAGCACCATTATCCAGCGATGTTTTCTCAGAGGCGTCGTGACAGGAGCAGTCATGACTCCGTTTTCACGCAGCGCTTGCCATTATAGGGACGAAAGCAGTGATATCGACATAAAGTCGCAACTTAAACGCTATGCAATTCCGTGTGAAGGTGATGGGACTTACTGCGTCCTTTGCGAGCTGCAAGGCCCGTCGGGGTCTGCTTCTTCAAACCCAACGACTAGGCTGCAACTTCATCATTCTAGCAGGTTGGGTTTCGAGTTCATGACTGGGCCAAGTCTTGCGCTCTGGCAAAAATCTGCACGCCTGCGAGATGGAGGGTGACAACATTAAAGGAAGAAGAGATGCTGGATAAGTTCGGCTGCTAGTGCTAGAGTGCTAGAGCAACATCCCAGGTTGCTTGTGGTCGGATTTGTCGTCTTGTGAACTTATCCGAGGCGTTGTGAAGGCGTTTTGGCAGGAGTCTCCAGACCCCAATATCCAGATCTGGGGTTGCGCGCAACGTGGTCATAAATCCAGGTTTGTGTAAACCCTGACCTGAACTCTACCCTGAACTTGAAGAGATATGCACGATTGGAACTGTTAGGGGAGGCTTTGACGATGTAAGACCGGCTTCCTAGTCATAGTTGCTACAACACTGCCAAGACCCTACATCATAAGCTGAAAAACAACTCGGGGACTTTTCTGCCAGGCTAGCAGCCGCGACGATTTCGCCGCGCTCCGGCAGCAACTGCAGGCACACGGGAAATCTTCGGGAGACAGTTCCTCGGACCACCTTCGCGTCGCAGAACTGATATTTCTGCGGATTGCATGTATGGTTGCATGATGATTTACGGCACGGTCTGCCCTCTGGAGGGAGATGACCTTCACAGAAGGCAGCCCAACAGCTACCTGGTGAGGGGTTTCGGTGAAAATACAACAGATATGCATCGAACGCTGTCAGATAGCCTGAGGGGTCGCCACAACTGTGTTCAATGATACCGTGCTCCTGGCTTTCCTTGATCGGCCAAGCGTCATCGTATCATCTTCTTCGAGCACACTCAAGATAAGACTGCATTCAGCAGTGAGGTAGCTAGTGGGTGCAGACGAAAAAGCTCAGGCTACAACGGCGGTGTAAAGACTGTGCTGAAGCCGATGGCTCACGCATAGCAAAGCAACAAGTTCTCATCATCACCAGCGCCGGCTTCCCTAGGAGGAGGTTGTATTTTCATGTATTGCTAAAAACGTCTCAAGCCGAATGCAGCCCAGACCCCAAGCCTTAAAGCCGAAAACACAACGCAGATGCTGTCGGCAAAGCGACATGTTGAGCTGCTCTAAGGCCACCAGACTACAGGAAATCTTGAAATTTTGGGTTTAGGGTTTAATGTTTTTAGGGTTGTGTCACATTCAGCCTGAGTGGGTTTGTGATGCTACGTCAGTTTCTTTTCGCCGCGGCAGGCTGTCATGCAGTCAAAGATGCACCACGTGCCGAGGAGCGGCAGAGTTTTCGTTTCAGTCGGATCTCCGTCATCGCAAAGTCGGCAGAATGCAAAATGTAGGAACCCGATCACGAAGCCCTGCTCCTATATGGGATTACTTAAAGATTCCAGATCCCACACGGGTAAAGGCGGGGGTCCCTGAGGCATCTTGCATATGAGGATGTTTAGTATTCTAGGGATCTATATTGGGGTCCCTGATCGCCCGTCTCTCCCATATCTGCTACATACTACTGGGATTCATGGGAAAGCCCTAATCAGAACCATTTGTTTCTACTTCGCTCATAAGGTAAAGTGTGATAGAGCATGTATGGGGTTCGGGCTGCACAGGGTTTATTGGGCTGGGCTTTTGGTGTCTGTATGTATGTGCGCACGGGCGCTTGTATGTATGTGTGTCTGTATAACATACACAACATAGAGTTGTTTATCTATTTTTGATAGACACGTCTTGTTTGCTCTCTCTCTCTCTCTCTCTTGTTGTGTTGTGTGCGCGTGTGTGTCCGTGCGCATGTGTGGAATGCATGTGTCCATGGTCCATGAACTGACATTTCTGGTTCAGAGTCGCAGGCAGTTTACTCAATCTTCCCCCAGACCCCGCAAGTTCCAAACCCGAAGCCTCGAAGCCGAGAATGCTTTCTCAAGGAGCGGGCTTCCCTCGCGCAAGATGCCGTCTTTCCACCGTGTCGAGTGCCACGGCACGGAAAAGACTGAAAGCGGGTTCGTGTAAGTGCGCTGTGCCCTTTTTTATTCGTCTGCATCATCGTCACTGCTAGTACCAGCATAACAGCAACCCTAAATCCTAAACGGCATAATGGCACGAATATGTGAATGTGGTCTTGGCTCAATCCGGACAGTTTGTCCTTCCGGGATTCAGGCTTGCAATCTGAAGATGATGTCTGAAGGAAGTAGGGTGTCCATCTGTTGCAAGAGGGTTTAGGGCATTAGGGTGCTGAAGGTTCTCGGGTATTAGCGGCGCGGCAGACTCCAGCATCTTGTAGGCAAAAAGGGTTGCTTTTGCTTTGACAAGTCATGGACACCGGAGACATCGCCGCTCGCGAGGTAAGAGGAGAAGCTACACACAGAACAGGTGATGTGACCAGCATCCAGCATCCTGTCACGTCGAGTCCTAACACCGTCAAGACCGGGAACCGGAAGATCATCTTCAAATGTCCTGAAGCGTCCAAAATCCAAAGGACACAAAACGGTCTGTCTACGGCCAAAGAGAAGCAACCCATTGGAAATCGAACTATATAAGCTCCTGCATTCACCGAAGTCCAAAGGTATGAGAGCAATGCCGGGGCTGAAGCAGCGGAAGCTCTCGCAGGGGAACTGACCAGCGAGATTTGGGAGGCCACCCTGCGCCCTCTGTGTATGGCGATTGCCTTGCGCGGCTCGTGATTCGAAGGGACGGATGAGCACGAAGCCCTCTATAACTTGAGGCAATCGGCTCAGTTAAGAGTTTGACCTTAAAAGACGCCTCAAGCAGTTTCTGAAACAAACATCTGGCCGCCTAGGGAACATAATACAAAGGCTTTGTTTCAGAACTTCCGAGTCCTACACTTTGGTCATTATCTTGCCGTGCCAGTGCGGAAATGGGCACATCAAGAGAGCGAGAGAGAGAGGCAGAAAGTGCGGGAATGGTAACCGGCCGCGGAAGCATTCCGCCTCAGAAGGTCATGACAAGACTTAGTAAGTAAGGCCCAAGGGGTTCAGAATTCAGAGTTTCGGACTGCTTAGCGTAACAGTCTACATGGCTCGGAGATTAACGTGTATACTGTCTCATTCTCTACAAATTCTAGTTCTTTCAGGAGCTCCGACAGCAGGGCTTGACCTGCGACTCCGTTGAGAAAGTCGTCCGAGATCTCGGTGTGCTTTTGCTCGAGCTGGGAAGTGAGGCTCGCCGGGCGCAGGTCAGAGAAGCGTGGGGGCTTGGGGGCCTCGGCTCTTGGGGTTCGGGCTCATGGTTCTAGCATCTTAGCCGGTGAATGGGGCTTTGGGGTCTCTAGTGCTTCCTTAACGGGCTCCTAAAGTTTGCGGATGTTGATGGGGTTTATGGGTTGAAGGGCTTCGGATTCGGATTGCAGTAGGCCTGGATGCAAAAAAAAGTTTCGGCTTTTAGGGGCTCTGTTCTCAGTTGTGGACCGGGCGGCATACACATCCAGGCCAAAGGTGGAAGAGTTTATGGGGTTTAGGGCTTGTGAGCCTACATTCCAAGGGTAAAAGGAGGGACCCTTAATAAGGGCCCCTAGGTATATACCCTTAATGCAGCTATTATATACCCATTATATAGTCCATTATAGGGTAGGGGTCCCCATTAAGGGTCCGTCCTTTTCCCCAGTCGGTTGGAGATGCTCAGGCGTCTTCGGGGAGGGACCCCACACATAGTTCTGCTGATAGGAGGGTAAGGTCAGGCATCTCAGGACCTCGGCTATTTAGATTGAAATAATGTATATTTTTGAACAATGTTCTAAATTTTTAGATATTATCATACGTTGTGCGCTACGTCCGAATCAAAGTGGAAAGCAGTCACACTATTGGGGTTGATCTCCTAAGACCCTACTTCACCTACATGGGTTCTCTTGAATTGGGGGTCCCTTCGAGCTACTATGCCGACTCGTAGCGTATTGTATGCTGAGGGCTCAAAGGGATCCAATTTTCTACGAACCCCTTCCATCCTGCACGACTCAAGCCAGACGCTCAGTCAAGATCATCAGTTGAGGACCCACAACGATTGTCACGTGAATCCTTCAACTCCACACTCCAGATTCCAAACGGAAGTCCTAGCAAGTCCAAACCCGGCATCGTTTTAGGTGAACTCAGAGCCCTAAGCTCGAAACCCCAACACCTGAATCCTACACGGAAAATGGGCGAGAATATCGAGCCCTAGACTCTAAGCCAACCTCGAGGGCTTCCTCTTTGGCCTGGAGAAATGCGTCGTCGCACAGCTCCTGGCGCAGATCGAACAGCGGAAAATGATCCCGGAGTCTCGACGGCAAAGGATTCGATGAGCAGGGTTGCCATCGGGCGTTTCGGTCGATGCCAAGACCCTCCACCTTCCGCCTCCTCACCACTCCCACCCACCCCGAACCTCCCAATTCCAAGCCTCCCGCCTCCGACTTTCCAGCTTTCAGCACCCTCCAGCTCCCACCCAGCCCTGATTTTGATGCTTGGTCTGATTCGCGCGCTGTGGTGTGTTTTGTAGAAAGTTCTCTTCAAGCCAGAGCCAGGACCTTAACTCGACAGAAAGCATTGTTTTTTTTTTCTATTTCGTGTGTTGGTTTCCACCACTGCACAAGGCCACCAGGCCTGGCGCAGAGGAGTGCAAGCACAGCTGCAGCGGTCTGGGTTTGGGTGTTTTGCTGTTTGGTCTTTTAGGCTTGAGGGTGTAGTTTGAGACTTTTGGTGTTAGAGGTTTGGGGCTTGCGGTTCCGGGCTTAGGAACTGGGAGTCAGAAGTGTTTCAGACCGGGGACAGTGTTACTCGGCATCTTCAGCCGAGGCAATATCATTTGTGGGATCCATCAACATCATGCCGGCACCACGTTTACCTTGATTTCCATGTTAGTTGCCAGCGCCATAGGACTACCCGTCTCACAGTCACAGTCATCGTGTGTCATCGGCCCCACCTTCTGCTACAATTGCTGCTGTCGGCATTTCCGTGTGGCGGTCTGCTTGTCACTGCTATTTTTGACTTTATCTCATTACGAAGCTTCTCTAAGTATTGCGGTTGTTGCTCGGACTGTGGATACTCTGGTCACCAGAGGTTCAGGGAACAGGGTCACCAGGTTCCTGTTTGGAAGCTTCAGCTGTGCATGTCTCGTCCCACCGGCGACAGAGGATGACTTTACTTTGGTTTAGGCTTCAAGGGTTTGGTTTAAGGTCTAGGTTCACCTAGACCTCGAGCCCCAAAGCAGCTTGTCTGCGTTACCATGCTATCACTCCAGCCCTTGTATGGGTTGCGGGTACGTTGAATATTTCACAGCTCTAAACCAAGCCCAAAAGCCCTAAACTCAAGCACCCTAAACACAAAACCCAAACCCCAAACCATAAGCCCTGAAATCCGTAGGCGGAGACACCAAAGAAAGAATCCAAGTCCTAGGGCCAAAATACAGTAATGAATGAAGCTTGGCTGCCATTATTTGAAAAGCATAAGCACCCCACCTTGAGGATGCAATGTAAGGGGCCAACATGCGTGATGGCATTTGGCATGCAGAGATTGGGCTTTCCGGTGCTTCTTCTAGCCCTTCCAAGCATGATAAAGACCAGGAACCAATAAAGCGCCAATAGAAATCAGAGACAGCAGTAGCAGCCAACAGTAGAAATGCTGAAACAAACAAAAAGAAGCATTAACAACCATCGAAGAAACAATAGAAGCCGAGAGAGCAAACAGGGGAGCACCATCAACAACACCAGAAAATCAAAAGACAGCAGGCGAGAGCCGACACTACAACACAAAAGAAACCCCAAAATGCACCAGGAATTTCACCGTAAAAGCCGGAAGTGCGACACCCCAGTGTTCAAAGCCTCAGAGTGATTGTGCTGCTAAAAAAAAGTGTAGAACCCTAAGCTGCTTTTCCTTCCTGAAGGAGCTCGAGGAGCAGCTGGTGGTCCTCGAACGAAGCCTCGCCACAGTCCTCGCCAGAGTCAAAGGAAACCCAAAGCTCCTGTGGGCGCCTCAACCGGGTGCCCCAAAGCCTTTTTATAGGGGCTTAAATAAGGGGCCTTGAGTTTCCTTTAAAAGGCTCCTACAAATGTAACTATAAGGGTCCTGTAAGGGTACTATAATACAGGGGCCAAAATCAGTACCTATACCTATCTTTGGGGGGGGTTCCTCATTATAGCTTGAGCATAGTGGGCCCCAAAACCCTATTCTAATTGTTAAGGCCCCCATCTTAAACCCCAAATATGCTTCATGTGGGTGCAGAGATCAGGGGTGTTTAGGGCGGCTTCGGCATCGGTGCTTGCGTGTCGGCCTCAGTCAAGATGATTGCAGGTCGTTGTCTGGCTAGACTTGAGTCCAGTACCAAACGGTTTTTACGGCCCCCTTAAGGTTCAATAAGTAATGATTAGGGTTCAGGGTTTAGGGATCCGTAACTAGTGCAATGATGGTATAAGCCCCCCTCTAAAGCCACAGTTAGATTGCTTAGGCCTCTATGCACGTCGTGCAAAAAATCTAGGGTTCAGGATTCGGCTGAGGTCTAGGGTCGGGGTTTCAGTTCTGATTGAGATGGTGGTGCCTTGGGCTGGAAGTTGGGCTGCAGGGGGGTGGTTGAGACTGCACGTTGGACAGCCGTATAGTTTTTATGAAGAAGCTGATGCGAAGAGCTGCAGTCTGATTGGTTTTGCATGACACGGGGGTTTTCACATAGTGTCGGTGCAGTATTTATGTGTTCAGAGCGAGGGACTGTTCAGGGTCCCTTGCTCGAAAACGCCGTCATCTGGGTTTTGCGTATGCCCCAGTGGGTTAAAAGGTTTGGGGTTTAACTGCAGGCTGTAGAGCTTCGAATTCGTTCAGGCGGACACTCGCACACGAGAAATGAGCTATCACCAGCAAGGAGTAAAGCATGTGTCGGCTTTTCGTTCCAGATATAAGGTGGTGGAATCCACCTTTGAGGTCGACCTTTGGTATTTGATGCAGAATGTAACAAGGGAGTCCTTGACGACACCCGGATCAACAGCAGCCCTTACTATATCATGTTTGCCAGCTTATCATGTTTGCCAGCTAGCAGCTGCTGTGCGTGAGGAGCTTCGACCCTATCTCCGGCAAAGCGCAAGCCCTTTTTGACTGCCTCGAGAAAGAGTTCGCCGATCCCAAACGGGACGATGTGGGCATGTGCTTTGTCAACGAGGCAGGTTGCATGCAGGTCTGTGCGAGGTTTCATGGTCTTGACGAAACCTTGGCATATGCCCCTACCCGACCATGTTTTAACTTGTCAGAAGCTTGGTATGTCGCTTCACCGTCTATGGAGGGAAATGGCGTGGTTTAGCAATGGGCAGTGGTCCTCCGGGGTCATGGCACGACACCTTTGACAGGCATGTCTGAGCATTCCGCTCGCCCACCTTGTGAAGACCTCCTTGGGGATAGACACCGCTGCCGTGTCGGGCACGAAGGCAATGCCAGAAAAGCCAAGCGCCTTGGCCAAACGTGTGGATGAAGTGGTCTTGCTACGGGGATTGTAGACTAGCAAGCTGAGCCGGTTCTCACAGCTTGGGGAGATGTGTAGACTGCATCACCACTGGTCACTGCTGGTCTCCAAGGAAACGATGCGTTTCAAGCTTTCGCAAACCGCGGTGCTTGCAGACTGCTGGTGGCGACGAGGTGTGCGGAAGAAGGCTTGGATGTGGCAGACTGCGCGGGGCTCAGTCTTCTTTTGACAGGACACAAGCAGTCACACGAAGCCGGCTGGTTGCCTTCATCTAGCAGAATCTGGCAGTCACATACTTTTGTATATATATATATATATGTGTATATATATATATTGTTTTGCTGATGTATTTGTTTATCTGTCTCTGTGCGTGTAGACGTGCGCATGTACAAATGCAACAACATACAGCCATGTTTGTCTCCCAGGCTCTTTCGTGGTCCGCTTCAGCCGATTCCACACGACTCGCAACCACATTCAAGGTGTCGGTCGCGCACGAGCATCGGAGGCCAAGGTGGCACGAACCAACTTTGATGCCAAGACTAGGGTTGTAGGTTCAAGGCTTATGGTCTAGGGTTTGGTTTTCGATCTTGATTACCAACAGACTTGTCATGAGCTGTGGTTCTTGCGAGGTCGCCGGTTGCGTCTCTGTGGGACTTGGGACTTGATGTTGTCGAACCATCGAGGTTTCATGCCAGACATGTGTTTGCAACAACCCCGCGCCAATCATGTTGTTACAAATTGAAAATGTCCATGCTGTGTATTCAGTCTCTTTGTACCAATATCTTATACTGACTGTAAGATTTCTGGTAGTACGGCCCAGCTATGCCAGGTCTACTACTTTGAGAACGACCCACTGGAAGAGTGCAGCAAGGAGGAGATGATGTACGAAGCCGCAGCTGAGCGGGACGTGATCCCATCGATGTTGGCCGCTGTGCCGCCGCACCGACGCGTTCCTGTGCTGGAAACGTTTTGGAGCATGACGCATTACAGACAATGTTCCCATCGCATGAGGAAGTCTTTAGCCTCAAGCCCAGCTTGTCGGACAAGGGAGGATTCAGCAAATATTTGAAGAGTGAATATGAAGATAAGACCTCTAAAAACTATATAAACCCCTTGCGGCTGTTCCGGCAAGGTTTGGGAGGGTCTGCACCCGTACATCATCCCGGAGAGCCTTGCAGAGGTCTTCCGGGGCCCAGCTTCCGCCGAGAGGGTTTAAGGGCTATCCACCAAGTCCAGGTTTAAAAAACGGGTTGCGTTATTCCTGTAATGACTTCCTCCAAAGGGTTGGGGTGTAGGATTCCTTTCAAAGCCCTTACAAGGATTCACAAAAGTTCATATATGGAAATGTATAGGGTGCAGGGCTCGGGTTCAAGCGGCTGAAACCCAGCCCTGATCCCCAAAGCTCAAACACTTGATGTATGTTTTGATCACGTCACCTTCAGCATGCATCGTTCGTCACACGCTGATATTCGGCAGCCCTATGCCGTCCTCAGCTCTGCAGCTTCTGAAACTTCAACCTGCGGTATCTCTGATACTGAGCCATAAAGCAGGTAACAAGAGCGAAAAACCGTTATCACAACAGCATCGCGACAATGACTGGTATTGAAATCAACGACAACCTCCATCAGCATATCAACATCAAGGAAGAGATGTGCGGTTAGCAACCGAATTGGCCATCTAAGTGCAAGATGTGAAGGGTTATGTTGCCGAGCTCATGGGACCCGCGCCGCTTGCAAACACATCTGCCCAGATTACTCTCAGTCCTGAACCCTAAGGCACTAAGCCCTGAACCCTGAGTCCTCAACCCTAGCAGCCTCGAAATCTGCACCGGGTGGCTGAGCTCTGGAGCTAGTTGGGAACCTCCAAGTCTAAAGCGTGACCCTCATACCTATAATCCCTGCAAGGTCAACCTGAAAAATGCTATCTCGATTCTGTCAGAGTATGTTGCTACAACTACATCGGGGAAAGTCCAGCTCAAGAAGCTACTTGGCACAGGGTCTATAGCTGCACTGGGCTGAACGGCATTGAAGTGGCAACACTCTGAGGAGGCTGTTGTTGGTTGTTTCTACGGGGTTTGGGATGCATGGGAAGTGTGCCAATGTTCTGTTCTCGACACAGAAGTTGGAGGCCCTAAGAAGCAAAAGCCTTAAACCCCAAGTCCTGACATCTAAACCCTGAGACCCTGTAGGCCCCAGACCCTAACCTTTGCCAGCCGGGCGGAAAAACAAGGATTCAGGCTCGCAATGGCTCGCAGACTATGTGATATATATATATATATATATATACACACTACGATATACATATATATATATATATATATATTTATTTATTTATTTATTTACATAGGATGAAAAGGGCTTTATGAGGATTTACGGCTGCTTGAGACCAGCTACGATGTCCTTAACGTAGACCCCGGGTTCATCGAAACCCCTTCCGTTAGCAAGGACTACAACAGGGATCCGACTTTTGGGGCCGTGAAGGGATCGGGTCGATTATTCATTTTAGGGGTTTATAGGGTTTAGGGAATATAAGAGCTGGCCGGCACCTCAGTCCGTGCTGAAAAGGGTTTATATTCAGAGGTCTCCTTCAGGGGAACCCAGACTATGAAACCGAGGCTCCATGGCGATTCGCACTTTTGCCTTCCCGGTCCACAGGGGTGGCTGAAGATTCCCATGGTGGAGGCGGCTCTGTGCAGCCCCCGTCGTGCCATAAAGCCTACAAACGTAGTTCAGAGCTTTAGAGTTTTGAGATGTTTTGAGGCTCCAGGCATCACCGCAGGATTCACCTCAGGTTGTCGAGGGAATCCTGCCTCCAGCAGAACGGGATGTTCCTTCACCTCTTTTGCTTTAGGCTGTACGGTTTTCCTGAACTGAAGTTCGTGCAACTTTGAAGTAGCGCCAGGCTTGTTTCAAAGGATCTAATGCCCTTAACTCGGAAGCTTCAAACCCTGAGACCCCACATCCCAAAGGAAGTATAAAACCCGACAAGGAGCGCTTAAGGAACCCCGAGACAGGAAGCCTCGTAAGCCAGGTCGAGGGCTTCTTTCCGCAAGAGCGAGATGTCAAGCCGACCTCTGTTTCTTACTACGTGGGCGTCCTGGTTCTTCACTGCAGGGGCCGCTCGCAAGCACAAAAAACCCAGGAACTCTTTTCAAAACTCACTATCAAGTATGTCGCATATACCTGTAACTTGACATGCAATTACCATGCGGCAGTAGTTGTAAGATAAGCAGCCTAGTAAACACACACATACACACGCATATATATATATATATATAGATAGATAGATATATATATATAGACACATCTGCACGTGCGATTAGAAATATATATATATATATATATATATATATATACAAGTAAACACAACATGTAAATGTATATTATATATAATACATAGGTGTATCTTTTTCTGTTTCTTTGAGCGCAAACATTTCGGCCAATTCCGTGCAGAGATCAAAACTTCGCATTTGTAGACGGATTTGTTGGAGGTTCTGGGGTTTGGGGGAGTTGGAGTCGATTTAGGATTGATGACAACAAGTATCGACACCTGAAGACCCAAATTCCAAATCGGGAACTGCCAGAATGGGGCCCAAATCCCCAAACCAATGAATCCAGATCCCTAGTCCTTATCGAGAAGGAACCGCCATTGACGTAGTATGACGTAGTATGCAGTGGGACAGTCTCAGATAGCCTCGCACTCAGTAAATGCCGTTCTGCCCATCAGACGTAGCAATGCCTCTTAGCGCCAGCCTCGCTTTCACTGCACCGTGTAGCCCGAAATCCAACGTTAAGTACTTATGACGAACTTATGACTTCTGGCTCCTACAAAGCCACAGAACTGCCCCATAACATGTTGTTAAGTCGTGTAGGCCCCGGGATACTTAAATAGATGATTCGGATCATTACAATACATCACAGCAATCGCAATCATAACTACAAGTTGCGATACCGTACCTGTCCGGCGGCTGGTAGACATAGCCTGGTTGGGGCGGGGGAGTCAGAATCCCTGTATGCAGCCAAAGAGAAGCGTTTGGCTGCTGGGCCGTTAAAGATACTGATACTGTCAACATCAGAACTCACCACAGCTAAATGATCATACTATTTTGCACTTTACGCTGTAAGCGGTCAGACCCCCGCATCTATTTCGTAAACGCGACCAGTGCTCATCCCTCGAAAGGCTGGCTGGACGAACACAACTGTGTCGCCAAGCAAGTCAGTAGAGCGAGCCAAGAAGCCGCTTGCCTTTGTGAGACCTTGCTGTCGTTAGGAGGTGCTGGGGCTGTTCACTGTCAGAGGGTTTGATTAAGTTATCGTTTTAAGGGTTTCGGCTCCTTGGTTTGGGCTGCTAGGCTGGGACAGCTTTGTGGCCAGCACATACTGAGACGGTCGAAGAGAAAAACGTACATGACGCTCCCAGCAGTCGAAGCCCTCCGATTGAACCGAACGATACCGCAAAGAAGGAAGGGGAGGAAGTTTCCATGAGCTGCGTACATATACATATATATATATATGTATGTATGTATATACTGATTAGTGTTAATAATTACTTGACTTGAACGTGTCTTTGCAATCGTGGTGCAAGGAGGGGTTCAGGCTCCGAGCGGCCGTGAATCCGAAAGCATTCTCACAGCCTCAAAAGCCCGCGGCTACACACCCTACAGCCCTAATCCTAACGCAATCAGCTAAACCATCACGCGAGGGAAGAGATGCACCATGAATGCAAACTTTCAAAAATGGGAATGTACGGTGCAATTCAAAGCTGCCGATGCGACTTCAAAACGATCTTGAGATGCTGAGAGAGGCTTGCAGTGGTGCTTGTGGAGTGCAGCAACACGCAGATACTCCTGTGGACGTTTGCGTAACCTTCAATTCAAGAAGTTGAACGAGATTTGCTTGATAACTCAGAGTTAAACTGATCTTACTCTTGATGTACAATCGGCGCGTGAAGCTCGACGAGCTTGCCATCTTCCAACTGTTTTCCTGGAGTTACCCTATAATGCATGCCCGTCCTTGCTAAGTAGGAAGCAACACAACACATATTTACCTGCGGTGCGAATTGGTCTGGGCGGGGGCGGGGGAATTAAAAGCCATAAGGGGTGCGGGAGGCCAGCAAAAGGATCACTGAAGCGCTTAGCCAAGTAAAACCCTAAACCCAACTAGCCGTGGTTCAGGTTGCGTGGCCAGAGCCGGAGGGGGAGCCGGAGACCATTTCTCTTGGCCCCATGGTATTTCCGAAGGGTCTTCTCGGGAATCTGGGTTGCCAAAAGGAGATGTTTTGTTCATTTTCCTTGTGGTCTCCTGAACTTGTTCATGGAACACTTGTCTAGGTGATGATTGGGGAGACTGGTTAGGATCACTTATATATGACTTCTGGAAACAAGGGCCTACTCAAAACGCATGTTGAGGGTCATCGGACTACTACAGCCCAGGAATCTGCCTTCCAGCGACGCCCTTGCGCAGCCCTTCAGCGAGCATTACTGTGTGTTGTTTAGTTGCTTTATGAATTTTGGGTTTGAATTGCCAATGCAGCTGCGCATCTAAACGCAAGGGATGCTTGAACCAGGCGTTTTGATTGTGGGTCTAAGGGGTTTAAAGGAGGCTGTGTATCTTCATGTCCCCAACCAATCCCTGTACACTCCCACAACCACTACTGCAACCGCTCGCATTAGCTGGATGACATGCATGCCTTGCCCTAGAGGGTCTCAGTAAGAATTATACAAGTCAGATGAAAAAGAGCGACCTGAATTCGAGTTTTTGACTTATATCTATGCAGCATTCTATATCCTACTTGCTAAGTCCCATGTCCTATGGTCATTCAACTTTAGTGGGGCCTTTGGGCCTAGCCTTCCGATTTGGATGGCGGGAGGGACGCGATCTCTGTCTTGCAAAGAGAAGCGAAGTTCCGAAAGATGTGTTGAGCTCGAATCCGCCGGCGTTGTCGTGGCCAGAAGCTGGAGTTCTAGGATGGTTAAATATTGGGGGCCTCACTCGCTGGAGGGCGTAGGACCGGCTGCAGCTCATGGTAAACGCAAAAGCCTTCTGAGTCACAGATAGCAGGTCGCAGCAACTACTGCTGCTGGTGCCGCCAATCCTCACTGCTTCTCCTACTCCACTCCTAGTCCTAGCTGCGCAGGTTTCAGCAGCGCGGCAGAGAGACCAGACGGCAGCACGTGGCTAGCGGCGCGGAGCAAGTCGTCATCGGCGAGCGATTGCTCCAGGTGGATGCCGTCTACAACACGCAGGCTCGGCAAGGTCGAGGTTTGGTACACATACGGGGCTTGTTACATGTCTTATTAAAGTCGTGGGGGAGGCCACCCTGCACGCTTCTAGCTTCAAAGGCTGCTCTCGGTCACATTCATCATTCGGTTTAGCAGGGGGCTGCCCAGTAATTGGAAATCTGGAGGACGAGTATGTGTCGTGACCAGGAGACCGTCAACAAGACCTTCACTGACGGGCGATGCGTCTGGCAGGGTCTCAAGGCGCTGGCACGCCGCGAGGTGGGACCTGGCCATGACAAGAACCATAGGGCCCATCACAGTACTCACCGCCGTAGCCGAGGTGGACTTCGGGGAAATCACGCGGATCAGGCCGGTGCGCGACCTTGTGCTGGCAATCAATGCTTGTTTCACTCAGATTAAACAGTCGCTTATGCTAATCACAGGCTGCTGCTGTTGCTGCTTTCTGCATTCTTTAACATGCGCACAGTCAAGAAGACAGAATACTAGGATCCTGACCCAGAAGGCTTATGATGAGCTTGTGCGAATGCAAGACAAAAGCCCGAATCCCATTTCCCATGCAGGGCTAAAGAGAAAGCTTCAATGTCCTGGGTTTTGCGCTGTCTGGTTTAGTTGATCTCGTGGGAGGGTATGAGAGCTAGAATCGCACGCTCGTAGGTTCCTTAACCCCGCCCTGCCACCTGTAATGCCGCATTTAAGTGCCCAATAGAAATGACAAAGCCAGAACCGGAGCTTGAAAGCCCGAAGCCCTAACATTCAAATATCGGGGTCTTAATAATTAGAACAGGGTTTTGTAGTATATTGTATTATATATTTTTCGCAAAAAGAAAGCCACACTAGTGTTGGTAAATATTTAGACCCTTATAGCACACACGAAAGCCCGAAGCCGTCGACCTTTGTATGTCGTGGGTTCCCCTGCGAGGGTGGCGCGGGGTCCGGACGACTGCTGGTACTCTGCTGACAACCGCCGGCTTTTCAGCATCAAGGCGGGGTTTAGAGTTGAGTATTGGGAATGTAGAACCCTGCTTGAATTTTACAAGCCGCAGAGAAAGACACGGAACTTCGCACAGAGCGAACGAAGGAATGGAAGGAAGAAAGGAAAGAAGGACATAAACAAACAACAAACAATGGAGAAAACCCAACAAGGAAAAGAAGAGAGTCGCAGAGAGATGGTCGGAATCAGCAGGGGTAAAAAGCAAGCCTGTGGTACGCTGTTGTCAGCACATGACGTGCCCCCTGGTCGGCTAAAACCCTCCACACCCGGACCCTCTAGAAATTACGGATTGCTCTGTGAGTGAAGGAACCTGGCATTAGAATTCGGAAAGATATTTGCCAATATTTCTTGGATACACTCCAGGGCCTCTGACCTGCAAACCTCTAAACTGAAAACCCTCTTTCCAAGGTGGTGGGGCCTCTCATCGATGTCACAGAGATCTGCGTTGATGAAATCAACTGGACGCCGGCCGCTGGGCGTGTTGTCGGTTCAGTGTTGAAGAGGGCTTCGCCGGGCCTGGGTATGGAGTGCAGTAGTCTTTCGAGTAGACGCGTTAACAGGACGCATTCATGCAGTTATGGCGAAGAGATCACGAGCAGACCGTAGAGTTTGGTTTCAGCGAGTTTCCGAGTTGCGACAGCCCACGGAGGAAATGAAGAACAAGCTTGACCAGCACGCGAGGCCGGCGGATCTCGGGATTTAGGGGCCGCACTGAGGAGCCTTATTCAGGGAAAGCCTTGCGACTTCTTCAGCCCCCGATGCTCGGTTTTCAGTGTGTCGCATCGCAACGGTTGGTTTCCCGTAACTACCCGCGTGCTTGGGCCAGCAGTTTGTGGGGTCCATGCGCAGCTAGAAGGGATTCAGAGATGTAGATGTGCTGGGGCATGCCTCTTCCGACGCCCACATGCGTGTCTAAAGCATCAACATCCTTACTAAAAAAGCTTTGTTTGGTACTTCCAGTCTGCCCCGTCAAGGTACGGAGAGGTGTGGCGCACAGATGCTGCTAGCATCAGTCAAGTGCGCAAGCAGCTTGAGGACTTCCGTCGTTAATGCTGTCGGAATAATCATGATATCACTCCGAAAAGCAGTGTTGGAATCAATACTACTGGCACAGGTCATGCTGGTCACAACAACAATAGGAGTTATGAGAAACATAATTTCGCATCTTCATCAGTTTGCTCAACCAGATGCCCCGGCTTGAGGTGTCCCAGTCTTCTCGTTTGGAGTCCATGCTTGGTGTGTGAGGCTTCGGGTTCATAAGGCTCGAAGTTGAATCATGATCGGTTTGAGCCTACAGGGACTTGTTCATAAGGGTTCGTGGGATGATTATTTGAGAGGGCTTATGAGGTCTTCGGGTTGAAGTTTTTGTTTGCCTGTAGCCCGAAACCGTAAACCCTGAAAGATAAGTTTGACAGTCAAGCCCTTGCAGTTTCGAGGGCTGGTGAAGTGCCCAGGACGAGCTGCAAAACGGCCCCGCCCCTCTCCCGAGCAGCTCCCTCGACCCGAAGTTGATCGCCGCTGAGGAGGAGATCGAAGAGCTCAGTCGGTCTGATCTGTTGGGGTATGTTGTGTTGTGTTGTTATGTGGCATCACATGGTACGGGGATAGCACAGATTACATGACAGTTCACCATGGTCATGTTCTATTGTATGACATGATGCTTATGACAAGACGTCCTATGAGGGTTTATAACATTATGTACTAGCCGTCTCCGAAATGTGCCTATCAGGGCTCAACTGCTGACACGAGTCCTTTGAGAGGGTTTTCTTACCTTTGACCAAGATTAATTCACGTTGAGGCGGTAATCGGTCGAGTATCAGCACAGTGACGTACTCTTTTGGGAACCCCCTGATCCCCCGTTTTAGGAACCCCTCCCTGATAGAAACCGTTTAGAGGAGCCCTTGATAGAAATGTCTTATAGGAGCCCCAACCCCAAAACCCCTTATATTATAGGAACCCCTTAGGAACATCTCGTGGGAACCCAAGCCCGTACAACGTTAAATAGGAGCGCTAAGAGATTCACAGGAGATCTTGGGAAAGGCGGCAGACCTGGCAGAGACGGAGGAGCTTGCCTCCGCCAAGGCGAGGCCGTCGAGGCAAGATCGTTTTTTGTTTGTTTTGTGTTTTTCCTGTAAGTCAGAAAAGGCTCGTCTTTAAAGGATCCTATGAGGGTGTTCCTGTGCTTTTCTTCGGGTGTTCCAAAAAAGGCCTGGTTTTGAAGGGGTCCTTCAAGACTGTTCCTTCGAGGGCTCGGTGTAAGGGATCCTTCAAGGCTTTTGTCCGGATTGAGGGCTTTGGATTTATGGTTTCCGCTTCAGGGGTTTATCTGCACCATAGCTTTGTAAGGGACTATACAAGCACATGAACGAACCCTAAAACGTAGGTCTTTCTTTTTATCGGTGTACGGTGCAGGGTTTAAAGGTCATGGTTGTCGAGGGGCTCGGGTTGCAGGCTTGGGGTTTTCGCAATTGGGGCTTAGTTTGGGGAATGCGAATTTCAAGTTGGATTTTGGGATTCAGGTTGCGGTTTTGAACCTAAGGAACTTCTCTCTCATTCTATCGTGGGTCGCAGTCGACAGTACCCTCACTGAGACCCCAAGCCCTATACATCCTCCGCCGCGTTATCCATGTCAAAGGCTTTCAAAAGGCTTCGGCCCAGGCAGCCGCTCCGAGCCCAAATGAATCGCTTATGCAACGCTTGCAACTTCGGACCCTTAAACCACCCGTAGAAGCCCCAAAGGGTCCAAGTATCATTAGCGGTATTCTGGGGGTCCTAAGTCTATACCAGAATGATACTCGGACCCTTTGGGAACAAGATTTGTTTCGAACAGCACTTTCAGAAACTTCCCATCGAATTGGCTCTGGAGCAAGGGAGAGCCCTCCCATCGTTCTGAAGCGGCCGTGCTCTTTCCCTCCGGCGCGACACCCTCCCAAGGCACGGGCGATTTGGCTGAGGGATTGTAGGGATTTGAGGGTTTCGCGTTAAAAGCTTACAGCTTCGGGGTTTCGGGAAAAAAGCTTTTGGGGGTGTTGGGGTGCTGGGCTTTCGGGGGTTAAGGTTTCAGGGTTGAAACGTTCAGCTGCAAAAGGGTTCAAACGTTCGTTTTGTCAGGGTTTAGGGCTTAAATATTTGGACCATTGTCTTGGGGGATGTATACCATAAGCAGGCAGGTGCCGTCAGGTTTTGGGAGGCTTTCTGCTGCTGACAAGTGCTAGATTGAAGCTGGGCCGTGGATGTGCATCCCTTCGTGCATCTCCATTGGAGGTGCTGCTTTCCGTATTGCACACCTTTCTCACCTCCATCCATATCATGCATGCGGCCGCAAGTGCTTGCCATGTATGTCGTCTAATCTCTGAGCCGGCAGGGCTATTACAATCAGCAGTGAGACAAAGTCCAGTAAAAGTTGAGAAGGAGCCTGTGTCCCGAATCCTGGAATTTGGGTGCTTGCAACAGCAGAGCCCATACCCTTCCAGTGCTACTGGTATGAAGTAAAGAATACCAACACGTAGTAGAAAGCAGCATGTTGTAACATAACATGGCATAGTATAGTGTATTACCACGTAAGAAAGCGTATAGTATACTGAATCCTGAAAGCATGCGGAGCAAGCCAGCGTGAGCGAACCAGGATCCTGGGTCAACACAGCCGATCTCGGAGGACAGGATTCAGATAACTGTGCAGTGCATCGGAATTTGGGGTGGTGGTTTAGGGGCTAAGGCCTAAGGCTTAGGCCCTATTAGGCGTGCTTGTGGGGTGTGGAATTTGGTGTGTAAGGCCACCCCTCCAGGATCAAGCGGCTTCTTCTTCTTCTTCTACGGAGGAGCGTCTGAGGATGCCCCCTTCGATTCCAGATCCTGCCGATGCAGCCGCTTGCCGAAGAGCCCTGCAAGGTTTTGGGCGTCGAGTTTACTGAAATTGGTTCCGCGCCGTGCCTTTGACTTGTCCGTGACTGTGTAACTCTTTTCAAACTTCGTAATTTAGTAATGCTCCTATGCCCAAGGTTTGGGTTTTGAGTTTTTGGGCTTGCCGCTAGGTCAATGAGACATCGACTTGTAGTATTTGGTGTTTACGGGCTTGGGGCCTGCGTCACGTAAAACAATGCACTTGCCAGACGCATCCATGTGCAGCAATGCTTGTCAAAGATTCCATAGTGAAGTTCATAAGGCGAACCCTGAGACGTTAACGTGGATCACAGGGGTTGCTTAAGGTACCTCTGAACCAGTCACTGAGCTGCAGAAGAGTTGCACTGTCCGCCTTTGCTGATTGAGTGCGCACTTTGGGTGCAGATGTTCTCCTCGTTCTGCAAAACTTCAAGAAGCAGAAATGTGCAAAAACGATCGTCATGATACCGAGCACAAGCAATCAAACGTGGAAAGCCAGCTATCGTAGCAGTACTCACTATGTCTACAAGTGTCGCGCATATAATCTTGCCGAAAAGCCACCTAAATGGAACATTGGCCGAGCTCGACCCATAAAAACCTCAAAGCAGACAAGCATCCCGAAACCCCCAAGCTCCATAAACCGAACCCCCCAAAAAATCATTACAATCCCAAGACTCCAAACCCCCCTAAAAGGCCCTAAAACCTCAAAGCTCCTAAAACCTAAACTCCCATGGCACCCTTAAGGGAACCCTTGAAGGAGCCCTTAAAGGCCATCTTTCAAAAAGGAGCCCCGAAGGGAACCCCGGAAGCACCCCTCCCTGGTATGAGGCTGCCGGCCGGCCACCGCAGCCGGAGGAAAAAAGACCGAAGCCCAAAGAGGCGGAGACTTGGGCCATGGAGGGTATTACGGTTGATGATATGAATCCTGCATTACCCATAACAAGGAACATACCACCATAGTCTAGGTCCTTAAGGAAATGCAGGATTTGTATCATCAACCGTAGTAGGTAGGTCTGGGGTTCTGGGGTTCAGGGTTCAGGCTTAGGGAAGCGTTTGTGGGCAATAGGGCATGGGCTTTGTTGCTGATGGGGATTGGGTTTACGGTTCGATGCTGGCTCTAGAAGTGGGTGTGTTGGCATGTGATTCATGGGGGAGCTCGGCTTTTGAGCACGGGGCCTCAGGATTTTTTCCGAATACTTCAAGGTCTTTGTTGGGCGTTGAGGGGCTTCGTAAACATTTGAAGGGCGCACGACATGGAGTTACAATCAAGGAGGGCTATCAGGAATACACTTCCCGATGGGGGTGACCATCCCAAACCCTAAAGCCCCAATCGCTTTCCATCCGTCCTGGACATCGGATCTGGTTGAAGACCCAAGGACCGGATCTAGGTTCCGTTCCACACGGGCGCACCAAAAACCTGAAGTATAAAATCCCAAGCCACAAGAGACCACATTGTTCCAAGGAGCAAAGCTTGGAGCGAAGCTTCATCGAATTCTCGGAACCCCGCTGCCCAACGGCAGCGCGAGGAGAGGGTGGCAGCAGCGCCATGCCGTTGCCCGAGGTGCCGCCTCTCCAACGCAAGACTTCATCTTAAGGGCGCCCTTTCAGGAATCCTTTCAAGCACACTTCCAGGAGTCCTTATAGGCACCCCCACAAGAACCCTTCCAAGGAGCCCTTTAAAGAAGCCAAAACAGGAGGCCACACAGGGACCCCAACTCCCCGAAAAGAGGCGCCTCCTCCAGTTGGCTCTGGAGCTGCTGCCACGTCAGCTCAGGGAGTTCCCGGAGTGGTGCCAGAGCGCTCTCCACTGAAGCATGAGGTGGGGGGGGGCAGAGGGTTTAGCGGGGTTTCGGGGTTTTTAGGAGGCAGAGGGGTGCAGGGGTTGAGGATTAGGCATTGAGACGGGTTCAGGGCATGAGGCTGTAATGAGCATGAGCCGTGAGTCTCTTGAACTAGGTGTTCCAGGGCAATATCCTGCAGGTTTGAAAAAGCTACATTAGGGTTTGCGAGTGGTTCTCAAAGTGCCTCTTGTGACACTCCCTTTGAAGGTTTTCGTAGGGGCTTGTATAGTCGCTGCATGGGGCTTGTAGGTTAGGTTTAAGGTTTAGGGCAGGATTCTGGGTTCAGGGGCTCGTATGGATGCTAAACGTGTCCCGTAAAGACTTTATACCGGTCTTCTAAGGGTCCTATCTGCGTGTGTGCATTTCTGTACATGCTGGTTTAAGAGTTTTGAAAACGTGTTTGCAATAAGGGTCTTCTGAGGGTTTCGCCTGGGTCTTATATGAGTGCTGATTTCAGACAAAGCGGTTTTGATGACATTTTTGCAAGGTCTCCATAGGCCGTATAGGTCAATTCTTAGTGCAAGCCCTAAATCCCAAACCGCGCATGGCTGGTCATTAAAAGCAGGGCTGTGTTTGGGTGTCGATGGCTTTGCAGGGGTCCTTTCTACTGGGAGGCCAGATATACATTGACAGTCATTGACGTATGGTTCGAAGTACATGGGTGTTGTGCTACGCCAGCAGCTTCAGGCTTCAGAGCGTAGTTGCAAAAATGATCACCCCGTAGTCTCCAGACCCCGAAAATTTCGTCAAATCCTGATGATCAGAGCCTTCGCAGACGCTCATGGGCCCTTCACTTTTTGGTGCAGTTCGTTTGCGAGCTTGGGCTGCAGGTTTATGTTTTCGTCGGTTTCTTGGAACCCCAGCCCTCACGTCCCGAATAGTGGTAGCCTTTGCCTGGAAGGCCATTCCTCGGCAGAGCGCCGTGGAATTGCAGCTGTTGCGCTGCATTGGGGACTACCTCGTCAAGAATCCGAAGGCAGAGTCTTCACCTGACCCCATATCATTGCTCCTGGGCTTGGCCTTTTTTGCTTGTAAGGTGAGGCTTCAGGGGTGTAATCGTTCTTCGTCTCTCGAGATTCTCTAAATATTTCTTTCCCATCTATTAGTACAAACAAAAGCAAATCGGAGTAACGTGATGTTACGCACCTTGGATTGGGGCGAAGACATACAGCACAGGCTCAACCTGGCGGTACAAGCGCAAATGCGCCCCAGCGACCGCGAGCTGCATCCGCTCTGCTACAAGGACTGGACACACCCAGATGGCTTCATTTGCGAGGTGACGCTGTGTGGGATGAGGGTGGAAGGCCAGTTCGGCGCGAACAAAAAGGCTGCAAAGCAGTCTGCCGCTCAGGAGGCCATTAAGGCGGTTTGCAAAGCCTCACGCGAGCGACGCGTGGTGCCGTTGGATGAGATGGATTAATATGGGGGTTTGAATACGGAGTCATGAATTACTACAGTAATAGTATTTTCAGTGTAGTCGCCCCTGTACAACCGGTTTTAATACAATACTCGAATCATTCAGACCCCTTTCTCAAGCCATCGGCACCACAACAGCTAATGATGGACAGGCGGCGCCCTTTCTTGGTGCATGGTTTGAAGCGGGTATGATCTAAACCACACTTTGCACGTAGGTGCTGCGCGGGTATGTAGTACCGTCATGGCATCTCAACATATATAAGAAGAATATGACTATAGTTTTGTCTGGTCCAGGCGACTGCGATACTAGATACAGGCGCTGCGCAGGAAGCTTCCGGAGACTGAGCTGCGCAAGAATGGGCACGGCCTGTGATGCTTGCGTGGCCAACGCGAATGGTCCGCTGTTTCTCAGGCTCCGAGCCGTTTGAGGTAGTTTGTAGGTGCCGGTGGTTCATGTAGCCCAAGTTTCCGGCACAGTGGCTCAACGCCGTCGCGCATCGAAATCAAAGCTCTACTGCTCTGCAGAAGGGGTAGATTTGCTCTAGCGACTGGGTGGCACGAGCTCCTTGAAGCTTCCTCTCGCGTGCGCCTGCTTTCCGGATCTGAGTCCTCAAACACATGGCATCATGTTCTCTGGATCCATAGGTGTGGCTGGCGGGGTATATGTGGTAAAGACGGAAAGTGTTGTGAACACTGTCAATTACGCAGCAGGCAAAAACTCATAATCTGGCATCACACCCATTCGCTCATTCGAAGGGCAACATGACTTCGCCCAAAGGCTCCGAAGCCAGCCTCTGATCTGCAAGAAGATATATATACACACAGAGACACATAGTTACATACAGACATAATCACACGCACAAATAATATACGTATGTGTATGTTTGTGTTTGTCTTGCTGCTAGTGCGACTTCTCATATTTGTATGTTTGTGTCTTTGAGTGTTGTTTTCCTGTCTTTCTGTTTGCTTGTCTGTCTGCCTGCCTGCCTGCCTGCCTGGCCAGCTGGGTGGCTGGCTGTCTGTTTCTCTGTGTGTCCGTCTTTCAGTTTCTATGTCCGCTGGTCTGTCGATATGTAATTTCGTGTATATGTCTGTCAGTATGTGGATAGATGGAAGGATGGAGGGCTGGTATGGATGAAAGATGATGTATGTTTGTGTTATGCATGTGGAGGGAAAGAGGGAGGGAAGGATGCATGGATGGATTTATCTTGCATGTTTCTTGTTTGAGGAGTCCGCATGTCTGTGCAGCGTCTTTACCAGAAACCGAAATTGGCTAGAACTGCTCGATCAATCCATGGGCCACCGGCGACAGGCTCGAACCCCTTGTGTAAGAACCCTACTGTAACGTAGTGAACCTTTTCCAAATCTAATTTTCGGAAATCTACCTGCTCAATGAATCTTATCCCGCTCGAAGCTTTATGTGGCCTATTCCAGGGCTCTTGGAGCCCTGTCCCTCGCTAGCTTGTGTCAGTTCACAGAACTGCTCAGTGCCAATACAGGCTATTTATAACCCCTTCTTCCCACTACCTATGCGGTTTAGGGTTTAGGGTCTCGTAGAGCGCAAAAAAGGGTTTAGGGTATGAATGAACCCTGAGTACTCCGAACTCCGGGCAGCTCTCTGAGGCGGAGACGATCATCTGGAAGTGCTGCACTTGCGCGATTCGGCGTCGCCCAGCTGCAAGGCTCTGTATAATGATAGCGTGCATGGATAGATTTGTTCGTAAGTGTGAATCAATACGAGCATCTGTGGAGCTCTATGTATAGTACATGTATATATATATATGTATATATATATCTATATATATATATATATATATATATTCATATACATAATTATATATATATATATATATATATATACAGACATATATATATATATATATATAGAAACATTAACATGTAACTCAAGGCTTCTTTGTTTCGCAGCAGCAAAGGAGACGGCTGAAGTGGGATAAGCCCAAGCTACGAGCACACGATGATTCCAGAGGAGACGCCTGGCAGCGGTTCCTTCATCACGAGTCTAGAGACCCAAAGGGTCCAAGTGTCCAAGTATCATCCTGGTATATACTTATAGGGCATTTTGGGGGTCTAAGTATGTCCCATGATGATACTTGGACCCTTTGGGAGAGAGACTAAGAATGTTTAGAGGGCATACTGTACCGGTCCTCGGTTTTTGCCATGAGATTCCCAATCCTAAACCTACCCACAGAGCCGCGAGATGCGGTTTGCTGCCACTTCGACTCTGAGGTCAGCAAGCAGGAAGCCTTTTGCTGGATTTTCTTTGGTTCGTCCATGGTGGCTCAGATGCACTAGCGCACCGTCAATGCAGGGCAGGAAATCGTGGCGATTTGCCTCGGCCCGATGTGCCCCTTCAATGATTCAGGCAAGCACCATCAAGCATTTCGCCGACAGCTGCATGTTCTCGAGCTTGCTGTTGTCATTGTTTACCTACTGGCGCCTTGGCTTTGGAGTTGAGGCAATCATGTGCCCCTCCTGGACCCCTACACCCCTTAGCCCTGAACTCCCAAAGCCCTCGAAGCCCTGAAAGCTCGACCCTCAGCTACTGGCAAAGTGAAATTTGAAAGCTGAGGAGCCTTTACGCTGCTGCAGCCGAATATGCTACTTGACTTGGACTTGCTTCGTCAATCGGAGAACTCCGAAACACTTTGGGTTTGCGTATTCGGTCTATGTAGGAAAGCTTGAGTTGTGTTGCCGCCTGGTTGTTGAGGGCGAGAGCAGCCGCGACATGTTTCCATCTGCATGCAGCCACAGCAGAAACTGTTGCACGAATTCAGACGCAGTAGTTGAGTAAGGTCCTGCACAACAGACGGCATAAGATCATATGCAGTAGAGCAGGTAACATAAAGCACAACCAGGCACGGCACATGTGCAGACATGTGCCAAAGCCTACTGTAGACCCGTCCGAACAGTCAATGACAGCATCTGCGAGTAGCCCCTCTATATATATATATGTGTGTGTGTGTGTATATATATATACAAAGAAATATGTTCAGGACGATAGCATACACCAGCCTTCTAGATAAAGCCACTATTGAAATCACTCAATCCATCTCAATCCCCGTTCGCATGCTTTCACATGTTGGCTTGTTCAGTCTACACGGTTCAGCGCCGACGGGTCGGATCACCGGCTCTTCTACATGATGCCACCGATCTGCAGAAAGACTGGTTTCTGTGAAGAGCCAAGAAGGTTTTTGCAGGGCTTTGTGAGGGGCTTGTAGGGTTTTGCTCGTGTCTGAAGTATGGGCCTTATAATTAGAGCGGGTGCTGGAGTATGTTATGGTAGAGCTAGTTAGGCTTGTGGGTTTTGGAGGATATTACTGTATATGACCACGGATACACAGGAGTAATCTTCTGCGGCCATTGCGGTTTTCGGTTTGGAGTGTTGTTCGAACCGAGACGGGTTGCATGCGGGAGTGCGCAGACCGATGGCAAAGTTCTGGATAACCGTGCAGGTTTGGCGGCACCGACGTGCTCGTCACATGCAGTATGATCTAACGTTCCCGTAGATACCTGCTGCTTTCGTGAGGTGCCAGACTGTCAAACTTTAGACTAGACCTTAATTCGGTGACCAGTCGATGTGGAGATTCTAGCTCTTCCCGACTACAGCATGGTGCCCTTCCCAAGTAAACGCTTGCGGATGTGGCTTCGACCGACTGGCCTCAGCGATTGTTTTGGCTTTTGGGGTCTTGTAGCGTTGTTGGTTGTGCTGTCTGCTTGCAGGGCCTGCAGGGACTGCAGCACACCTTGAGTCTTCCATGTGCGGACTAGTCGGATAGACCTTCTCGGACAGGTTACTTTCATGTGTTCTGACTGGACGCTTTCCACCATTTGGCCCCAGATTCCACAAGGGCTCCGGACATTTCTATCTATGCATGTGTTGCGAGTGCAGCAATACGAATCAATCATAGCCCAGCCTCTGGCACATCTTCTTGTTCTGACTGCTGTCAGGGTCAGCTTCGGCACTTCACGATACATCCGATACATCCGCATCCACCTACCATGTGTAGTTATTGCGGCTGCCGGCGCCTTCCAGGGCATTACTGGTATTGAAACCCTACACTCCGAAATCCTAAGCTTGGTTTCAGTAAGGCCCAGACCCAAAACACCCACAGCCCCTCCCTGGTCCTAAAAAAGGCTGGCCATGAGCATCTTCTTTATGGACATCAACTTTACAGGCCCGTGACATCGGTGTCGTTCGGGGTTGGGAAGGGTTCTCAATCGGAGGGTTAGCTTCTTAGGGTGCACTTAAAACGGAAGGCACCCACCGTTTGGTCGTTCTTTGCTTTAAGAAGGCATGATTTTTTGTGGGGTCTGTATTAGGGTCTGAGGGGTTTCGGGCTTCCAAATTTGGACTACCGCCGGTGCCACGCGCTGTCGGAATCTGCATAGTAGCCCTGTGCATAAGGCTTGCGATCGTGCTCATTTCCTTCCTTCCAAGCGATATGAGTGAACCAGCCGCAGGAGATATCCTCGTCCAAGATGCGGACACAAGAAGACTGTACTTCAATGCTCTCGCGACCTGCTACTGTTTGCGAACTCGTCGCATTTAGCAGCTGGCTAGACATTTGCTTGCTTGTTATGAACCGGTGCAGCTGTTGGTGCAATTGACCCTAAGCTCCACACCCAAAACCCGAAACCTAAACCCTTAACCCCGCTCACAGCTGAGACTTGGCATGATGCATGCTCGAGTGGGCTATTGGTTGCCAGCCTGCCGCGTCTTGGCTCGCCGTTTCATACACGGGTTGAAAAGACACAAATTAGACAGGTGTATAGTCTACGGTTGTGCGTGAGTGTGTTTTGTATAGTTCCTTGGGGAGTACTAATGTGAGACCCCAGGAGTTGCGATGTCCGGGCACCTTTTCCGGCCGCACTGTTGAGCCCGAAGTCTGCCGCCCGAAAAGTCCTAAACCTTAAACCCTCATAAATTTCGAAAGCCCAAACCTAAACCCCTGCAGACCCTTAAATCCCAAGCACAAAGGTCTG